GTGGTTTTGGGGTGGTGGTGTGGTTATAGAGGTGGTGGGTGTGGTTATAGAGGTGGGGTTTTAGGGGTGGTGGGTGTGGTTTTTGGGGGGTGGGGTGGTTTAGGAGGGGGGTGTGTTTTTTTTGGGGTGGGGGTGTGGTTATGGGGTTTGGGGGGGTTAGTTATAGGGGGTGTTGTGTGTGGTTATAGGGGTGGTGGGTGTGGTTATAGGGGGTGGGGGTGGTTAAAAGGTGGTGGGTGTGTTATGGGGGTGATGGGGTTGGTTTTTTGGGGGGGTGAGTGTGGTTAAGGGGTGGTGGGGGCGGTTATAGGTGGTGGGGGGTTTTGGGTTTTAGAGGGGTGGTGTGGTTATAGAGGTGGTGGGTGTGGTTAGGAGTGGTTTTGGGATGGTGGTGTGGTTTAAGGGGGTTGTGGTTATAGAGGGGTGGGGGTTGTTTTAGGGGTGGTGGGTTTTTGTGGTGGGGGTGGGTTATAGGGGTAGTGAGTCGGTTTTGGGGTGGTGATTTGGTTTAAAAGGGGTGGAGGTTGGGGGTTTATAGGGGTGGTGGGTGTGGTTTTAGGGGGGGGGGTGTGGTTTGGGGTGGTGAGTGGGTTTTGGGGTGGTGGGGGTGGTTATAGGGGGGGGGTGTGTGGTTTTTGGGGGGTGGGGGTGGTTATGGGGGGGTGGGTTTGGTTATATGGGTGGTAGGGGGGGTTTTTAGGGGTGGTGGGTGGGTTATGGGGTGGGGGGTGTGGTTTAGAGGGGTTGGTGTGGTTATAGGGGTGGTGGGTGTGGTTATAGGGGGGGGTGGGTGTGGTTTAGAGGTGGTTTTGGTGTGGTTATGGGGTGGGGTGGGTGTGGGTTATGGGGGGGGTGGGTGTGGTTTATGGGGTGGTGGGGGTGGGTTTTAGGGGTGGTGGGTTATAGATGTGATGTGGTTATAGAGGGTGGGGGGTGTTGTTTTAGGGGTGTGGGTTTTAATGGTGGAGGGGTGGTTAAAGGGGTGGTGGGTGTGGTTATGGGGGTGGTGGGTGTGGTTATAGTGTGGTGAGCGTGGTTATAGGGGGTGGTGAGTGTGGTTAATAGGGGGGTGGTGGGTTATAGGGGTGGTGTGTGTGGTTATAAGGGTATGAGTGGGTTTTAGGGGTGGTGAGTGTGGTTACTGGGGTGGTGAGTGTGGTTATGTGTGGTGGGTGGGTTTTTAGGGGGGGGTGGTGTGGTTTTGAGTGGTGAGTGTGGGGTTTTTTGGGGGGTGAGTGTGGTTTTTGGGTGGGTTTGGGTGGTTATTTGGGGGGGTGGTGTGGTATAGGGGGGGTGGGTGTGGTTTAGGGGGTGGTGGGGTGGTTATAAGGGTGGTGGGTGGGGTTATAGGGGGGGTTTGGGGGTGGTTTGGGGTGGTGGGTGTGGTTATAGGGGGGGGTGGTGCGGTTTTGACGGGTGGGTGTGTTTAGGGGTGATGAGTGTGGGTTTTAGGGGGGGGTGAGTTGGTTATAGGGGGGTGGCGAGTTGGTTATAGGGGTGGGGGAGTTGGTTATAGGGGGTGGTGGGTGTGGTTTAGGGGGGGGGGGGTGGTTTTGGGGTGGTGGTGTGGGTTTTAGGGGTAAGAGGAAACTGGACAAGTATCTTCAAGTGCCAGTCAACCCGGCTGTGATGGATATGTGGGGCACGGGGATCCAGGGAAAAGCCCTTTTTTACCCGGGAAGCACCCGACGAGCCCCAACCCCGGGCCGGGGTCAGAGAGTAGAGAAATTCTCGAACTCTTCAAAGGTATATGAAAGGTATTTGGGGGGAGTGTGAAGTAAGATGGGTGGTCTGATTATGGAGTTCGAGCGTGTGGTTATTGGGAGTTGAAATGGGGTAGGGGTACGGGTGTAGGGGGGTTTGTGGATAGCGGTGGGGGGGGGGGGGTTGGGTTGAGGGCATGAACATGATAGCTATATTAAGAACATTGTCATAAGAACAGAAGAAAGAAGGAACACTGCAACAAGCCTACTGGCCTATGCGAGGCAGCTCCAATTCTCCCACCGGTTTAAGCCAATGCCTTGACCTAATAAGGTCAGACACGTCACTTAGGGAGGAGCAGTGCATCCGACCTAGTAGCACAAGATAGTCAGGTCTAACTCACACCATGGCTATATTAATTACACTAACATTACTGTATTTTACACAACTTTTTTCTATACACTAATATAGCCATGTTCTGTGTGTGTGTACTCACCTAGTTGAGGTTGCGGGGGTCGAGTCCGAGCTCCTGGTGTGTGTGTGTGTGTGTGTGTGTGTGTGTGTGTGTGTATGTGTGTGTGTGTGTGTGTGTATGTATGTGTGTGTGTGTGCTCTCTTTTGTCTACATACCTATCTCTCCCTCTCATCCCTCTCTGCAGTTCCCTCTCACCCCACCTACCAACCCCTCTCATCTACCCCTCCCTCTAACCCCACCTACCCACCCCTATCACCCCACCTACCCACCCCTCTCACCCCACCTACGCACCCCTCACACCCCACCTTCCCACCCCAACTACCTACCCCTCTCACAACAACCTGCCTCTCCCTCACTCCACTCACCCCTTCCTCTCACAACCGCCTGTCCCTCCCTCACTCCACTTACCCCTCCCTCTCAGAACACAAACCCCTCTAAACACCATTCTAAGTGGGGAAACTCACCACCACCTGCACCACCATCTGACTCCTTTATCATAGGAAGAGGAAACCCCGTCCTGTGCGATGGAATATGACTAGGGAACGCATCCTGTGATGGAAAATGACTAGGGAACCCATCCTATGTGATGGAAAATGATCAGGACCCCCATCTCTGATGAAGGAATACGACAGAGGGAAATCCATCCTGTAGGATGGAAAATGGCTAGTTTCTATTCCCCATCATGTCAGTCACGCATTATATAAGGTAGGAGCACATTGACGATGCATCCAATTTAGTTAAATTAAGAAAAATTACATCACCACCATCTCCACCCACACCACCACCAATCCAGTCAAAGGTAGTTCTCACACTCACGTCTAGGAGGATATTGTGAAGGAGATCATTGTGTGGATGTCAGCAGCGGTGGGGCGACAAAGGAGAGTCTCAGAGGGGGATCACCGACCACTCAGGGTGGGTTGGACACCTTACAAAAGAAGTTTCAATCACGTACAGACGTCGTGTTGCGACTGTTTGTACTCTTACACATGTTATTAAATAATGGAAGGGTAGTGGGCGCAGGACATTGTGGGGGAGGAATGTAGTGTATGACACACGTGGTAATGAACAAAAGTGCCACGCATCAACAATGTTAATACAACAAATGTCATTTCACGAAGGTATGAATGCAACAAGTGATGTGCAACGAGGGTTATACATCACCTGTTGTATTAACACCCTTGTGCTACAACACGAGGGTGTAAATACAAGTGCCACACCACGAGGGTGTAAATACAACAAGTGCCACACCACGAGGGTGTAAATACGTACAACAAGTGATTTTTGCCTTACGTTAATAACGGCATAAATCACAAAAAAATAAACTATTTCAAAGTATCTGAGAATGAAATTAAAGAATTGGCTAAAATTTATTTAAACCATGAATATGGCAATGGTCAGTGGTCATGGGTGTGATTATATGAATGTATATGTATTACACACACACACTATATATATATATATATATATATATATATATATATATATATATATTTATATTATATTATATATATATTACTGCGAAAATTTCGAACAAGCGATACAAGATGCAAAACAACAACGAGAGGGTTGAATGATAGCTTTAGGCCTTTCGTGTTGCAACACAGGAGGCTGCAGTGTTGCGGAAACGAGTAGGAAGTCCAGGTAGATGTGTTCAAGGAAGCGACTCTAGGTCGAGTAGCATTATCTCATACCGGTCTCACAGCAATAATGCTATGAGTATTTAATGGTAGTATAAAAAAAAAACGAAAATCATACATGTATAGAAAAAAGGTAAAATTTATACATAGCAACATGGATAGTTTAAATTAAGTAGTGTTTAGGAAAAAGGAAGCACACTGATTCTTGACAAATTACTGTGACTCAGGTTATGTTTACTTACAATAATAAATTATATATACCTAATAAGAGATGGATATAAATCAGACAGTTACCTTGGATAAGTAAGGGTATACTGACATTAATCTTCCCTTCCCCAGGAGCCTCGTCTCAACCCATGGTGGGTGACCCCCTGAAGGGGTCGAAATATCTGACCACGAACCTAGATAAAAATACTGCAAAGTATGACTTTAAGCCTGCATTAATACTGCCCGTATATAATATTCCTGTAGAGGATGACTATCCAACACAATTCTTCTTCTTACAAAACTTATGGGAGAACAAAATGGCACAATACCGTGAATTAAACAATAAACAATGAATCCGCACATAGAGAGAAGCGACGCTTCGGTCCGACTTGGACCATTTACAAAATACAAGACCGAAACGTCGTTATAAGCTCCACTCTCCTGTGTGCGGGTTCTTTATGTATTATAAGGGGAAAAGAGGACGTCCCAAAATTTGAGACTACTGATTGATACTCAAACTCTCTGGTCACCAGGCAGGAGAGACCAAGTGTGATGTTTAGCATCTCTCCTCTTTGATGCAGTATGAGAGATGAACCTCGGGTCCACAGTGTGTATACATCATCTCCCTCAGGTCTGACAGATATAGACATCATCTACCACAGGTCTGACAGATGTACCCATCTCCCACAGGTCTGACAGATGCACCCATCTCCCACAGGTCTGACAGACGTACCCATCTCCCACACATCAGACAGGTTTAAACATCTCCCACAGGTCTGACAGGAATACACATCTCCTCCCACAGGTCTGAACGGTATACACGTCTCTCCCACAGGTATGACGAGTATATACATCTACAGGTGACAGGTATACACGTCTCCTCCCACAGGTCTGACAGGTATACGTCTCCTCCCACAGGTCTGACAGGTATACACGTTTTCTCACACAGGTCTGACAGGTATACACATCTCCTCCCACAGGTGTCATCCATCAACAGAGTCCTACGCAACATTACCACAAAGGAAACAGCTGGTACCTCCCCCACACCTCCTTCAGGATCAGCCGCTGCAGGCGCTGGAGGTCCCGCTGGCGGCTGTGTAACAGCGGCGGCGGCAGCGGCGGCGGCGGGCGGTGGCGGCGGCAGCAGTCAGACGATGGGCGTGGGCGGTGGCAACTCAACAAGTAGCAGCAATTCCAATACGCCCACGCCCACGCCCACGCAGGAACCCATGTACGACAAGTTAAGACTCCTAAATGGGCAGTCGACTTGGCCCCGAACGCAGTGGTTAGTCTTGTACTGTTATGTTATTGTGCGATGTTAAGGTGTTGGCGTTACAGTTGTGTCTTATATTGTGTTACAGTATTGTTGTTATATTGTGTGTGTGTTACCGTATGTGTGTGTTATACTGTGTGTTTATGTTATATTGATTCACAGCTTATGTTATATCGATTCACAGCTCCTGGCCCCCATCTCTTCGCTGTTCGCTACTGGGTCCTTGTTTCTCGCTTGTGGGGTTGTTCACTGACCCTGTCACAGTAACTAACCTTTATTATTATACTCATTACGCCCACAAGCACTAAAATTAAGGGAGCCCTACTGTGTGTACTCACCTAATTGTACTTGCAGGGTCGAGACTCGGCTCCTGGCCCCGCCTCTTCACTGAACGCTACTAGGTCCTCTCTCCCTGCTCCATTAGCTTATCATACCTCGTCTTAAAGCTATATATGGTTCCTGCCTCCACTACATCACTCGCCAGACTGTTCCCCTTCCTGACCACTCTGACTGAAGAAATGCTTCCTAACATCCCTGTGGCTCATCTGAGTCTTCAACTTCAAAGAGTGACCCCCCTTGTTTCTGTGTCCCCTCTCTGGAACACCGTCGCCGTCCTTTCTTCCACGCTATTTGTTGTCGTATATGTCTCCCCTAACCCGCTCATGTGTCAGCCATTTCGCTTAACCTTCCTTCGTAGGGCATTCCCCTTAGCTCTGGAACTAACCTTGTCGCAAACATTTTCACTTTCTCTTATTTCTTAACGTGCTTGTGTGTGTGTGTGTGTGTGTGTGTGTGTGTGTGTGTGTGTGTGTGTGTGTGTGGGTGTGTACAATCCAATTACAGTCGCAAACAGACGATATTAATAATGCAAGACAAGCCACGGGGGATGGAAATCTTCAGCTCAAGATCTTTCAAGCGTGTCCGAGCGTCATCAAGAGCTATACAAATTTGCAAATAGTAGCAAAAGGGTTAATAAGAGGAAGTTTTCCCCGAGTAAGGTAGCCTGGTGACGCCACCCAGTGGCTCTCAGAAAGAGAGACCTACTTTATACTTGCACACACTTCTCATTAGTTTGCAACATGTGCAACAATTTTCCGCTAGTTTAACTTGTCGAGGCCATCCCATATAACCATCACTACGTTTAGTGTTGCAGCAGATATTACATCAACTGCTCCTACTGCAATTGCTACTACTGATAAAATCAACAGCGTGTATCTGTGAGCGAATTGAGATTTTGTTTGTGGGAATCGAAGCTAAGCTCCTGGCTGTGTGTGTGTGTGTGTGTGTGTGTGTGTGTGTGTGTGTGTGTGTGTGTGTGTATGTGTGTGTGTGTGTGTGTATGGGGTATTTTGTGGTATGTGTGTGTTGTGTGTATGTGTGTGCGTGTATGTGTGCGTGTGTGTGTGTGTGTGTTTTTGTGTTGTGTGTGTGTGTGTGTGTGTGTGTGTGTGTGTGTGTGTGTGTGTGTGTGTGTTTGTGTGTGTGTTTGTGCCGCCGCCGCGCGAACTCTTGGTGTGTGCACATCAATTTTGTCTGACAGTCAGTTATAACTGAAGGATGCGGGATCGATCCTGGGGGAGTGAAGGATGGCCAGGTCTCTTACTCCTACTGCAAATAGGTACCCAGGAGCTGGTCGACATTTTTAACAACACTAGGTACGCGAATACCTTTTATTCGACACTTAAATAATCAACAGGTACTGGAGATATTACGCTGAGTCTGGAGTATGTCTTACAAGAACTGGAGTGTTTCTTTCATAGAACTGAGGTTGTCTTACCAGGACTGGATCATTGTCTTAACAGAACTAGGAGTGTTGTCTTACACAACTGGATTAATGTCTTACACAGACTGGAGTGTTGTCTTACACAGGACTGGATTATTGTCTTACACAGAACTGGAGTGTTGTCTTACACAGAACTGGAGTGTTGTCTTACACAGAACTGGAGTGTTGTCTTACACAGAACTGGAGTGTTGTCTTACACAGAACTGGAGTGTTGTCTTACACAGGACTGGAGTGTTGTCTTACACAGGACTGGATTATTGTCTTACACAGAACTGGAGTGTTGTCTTACACAGGACTGGATTATTGTCTTACACAGAACTGGAGTGTTGTCTTACACAGAACTGGAGTGTTGTCTTACACAGAACTGGAGTGTTGTCTTACACAGGACTGATTTGTCTTACTACAGAATAGTGTTGTCTTACCAGACTGGATTATTGTCTTACACAGACTGGAGTGTTGTCTTACACAGACTGGATGTTGTCTTACACAGAACTGATGTTCTTACACGATGATTATTGCCTTACACAGAACTGAGTGTTGTCTTACACAGACGAGTAGTTGTCTTACGCAGACTGGAGTGTTGTCCTTACACAGAACTGAGAGTTGTCTTACACAGGACTAGTGTTGTCTTAACGAACTGGAGTGTTGTCTTACGCAGGACTGGAGTGTTGTCTTACACAGAACTAGTGTTGTCTTAAACGACGGATTATTGCTTACGACGAACTGAGGTTGTCTTCCAGACTGGGTTTGTCTTACACAGGACTAGGATGTTGTCTTAACACAGAACTGGAGGTTGTCCTTACGACGGACTAGTGTTGTCTTCGCAGAATGGTGTTGCTTACCAGAACTAGGTTGTCTTAACACGACTAGTGTTGTCTTACACAGAACTGGAGTGTTGTCTTAGCACAGAATGGAGTTTGCTTACACAGAACTGAGTGTTGTCTTAACACAGACTGAGCTGTTGCTCTTACACAGAACTGAGGTTGTCTTAACGCACGACTAGTGTTGTCTTACGACGAATAGTTGTCGACGTCACGACTGTTTTACTACGACTAACGTTGTCTTACGCACGACTGACATTGTCTTACGCTCGACTAACGTTGCCTTACGCACTAGTGTTGTCTTACGCACGACTAGCGTTGCCTTACGCACTAGTGTTGTCTTACGCACGACTAGCGTTGCCTTACGCACTAGTGTTGTCTTACGCACGACTAGCGTTGCCTTACGGACGCACTAGCGTTGTCTTGCGCAGGATTGGCGTTGCCTTACGCACGACTAGCGTTGTCTTAAACACGACTAGCGTTGCCTTACGGACGACTAGCGTTGTCTTGCGCAGGATTGGCGTTGCCTTACGCACGACTAGCGTTGTCTTAAACACGACTAGCGTTGCCTTACGGACGACTAGCGTTGTCTTGCGCAGGATTGGCGTTGCCTTACGCACGACTAGCGTTGTCTTAAACACGACTAGCGTTGCCTTACGCATGACTAGCGTTGTCTTAAGCACGACTAGCGTTGTCTTAAGCACGACTAGCGTTGTTTTAAGCACGACTAACGTTGTCTTAAGCACGATTAACGTTGCCTTACGCACGACTAGCGTTGCCTTACGCACGACTAGCGTTGTCTTGCGCAGGACTAGCGTTGTCTTGCGCAGGATTGGCGTTGCCTTACGCACGACTAGCGTTGTCTTAAGCACGACTAGCGTTGTCTTAAACACGACTAGCGTTGCCTTACGGACGACTAGCGTTGTCTTGCGCAGGATTGGCGTTGCCTTACGCACGACTAGCGTTGTCTTAAACACGACTAGCGTTGCCTTACGGACGACTAGCGTTGTCTTGCGCAGGATTGGCGTTGCCTTACGCACGACTAGCGTTGTCTTAAACACGACTAGCGTTGCCTTACGCATGACTAGCGTTGTCTTAAGCACGACTAGCGTTGTCTTAAGACCGACTAGCGTTGTCTTGCGCAGGATTGTTTTTCCAACAGTAATATAGGTTTCTTACACACTTATAAAGTTAATGAGACCATAATTATCGACTAACAACGGGCTAATTGTTTTTGTGCTGCTGAGTGGGCAGAGGCAGTAGGAATTTTAGGAAATTTGCCCGTGTGTGTGTGTACTCACCTAGTTGAGGTTGCAGGGGTCGAGTCCAAGCTCCAGGCCCCACGTCTTCACTGGTCGCTACTAGGTCATTCGCCCTGAACCGTGAGCTTTATCATACCTCTGCTTAAAGCTATGTATGGATCCTGCCTCCACTACATCGCTTTCCAAATTATTCCACTTCCTGACTACTCTGTGACTGAAGAAATATTTCCTAACATCCCTGTGATTCATCTGTGTCTTTAACTTCCAACTGTGTCCCCTTGTTACTGTGTCCAATCTCTGGAACATCCTGTCTTTGTCCACCTTGTCAATTCCTCTCAGTATTTTGTATGTCGTTATCATGTCCCCCCTATCTCTCCTGTCCTCCAGTGTCGTCAGGTTGATTTCCCTTAACCTCTCCTCGTAGGACATACCTCTTAGCTATGGGACTAGTCTTGTTGCAAACCTTTGCACTTTCTCTAGTTTCTTTACGTGCTTGGCTAGGTGTGGTTTCCAAACTGGTGCCTCATACTCCAATATGGGCTTAACGTAGACGGTGTACAAGGTCCTGAACGATTCCTTATTAAGATGTCGGAATGCTGTTCTTAGGTTTGCTAGGCGTCCATATGCTGCAGCAATTATTTGGTTGATGTGCGCTTCAGGAGATGTGCGTGGTGTTATATTCACCCCAAGATCTTTTTCCTTGAGCGAGGTTTGTAGTCTCTGGCCCCCTAGACTATACTCCATCTGCGGTCTTCTTTGCCCTTCCCCAATCTTCATGACTTTGCACTTGGTGGAGTTGAACTCCAGGAGCCAATTGCTGGACCAGGTCTGCAGCCTGTCCAGATCCCTTTGTAGTTCTGCCTGGTCTTCGATCGAATGAATTCTTCTCATCAACTTCACGTCATCTGCAAACAGGGACACTTCGGAGTCTATTCCTTCCGTCATGTCGTTTACAAATACCAGAAATAGCACTGGTCCTAGGACTGACCCCTGTGGGACCCCGCTGGTCACAGGTGCCCACTCTGACAACTCGCCACGTACCATTACTCGCTGCTGTCTTCCTGACAAGTATTCCCTGATCCATTATAGTGCCTTCCCTGTTATCCCTGCTTGGTGTGTCCTTGGTGTGTGTGTGTGCCGGGAAAT